TTATCGTTTATGCACGGAAATATATAAAAGTTTTTGGAAATGCGGCTTGCTTTGGCAAATTGCATTAATATTTTAGAGAAATTGAAATGCGGTGTTTATAATTGAATTGGGTGAATTTAATATTCATAAAAAATATTTTCAATAATTGAGCAAGTGGAGAAAAGCGTTCAACACTCTATAAATGGTATTCCTCTTACAAATTTGACTAAATTTTGGAGAAAATCTTAGAAACTGTACTTGAAGAGTGTGTCTAATTTTTTATTACTTCATTGAGTGATTTTCTAATTGAGACTAATGCAGGCCCATAGACACACATTGATCATACTCAATTGATTTTATATCTTATGTAGATAGGTGATCAAATAAATATAGTGAAAAGTCCCCGAGTGCGGACACCTAAGGTTATTTATAAATAAATCAAAAAATATTTTACAAAATATTTATTAAATTATTACTTATGTTAGATAACAAAGTTAGAAATTAAACTAAATTAACAAAAACGCAATCTTTGCTAAACCATAATTAATACTATCAATCAAACTTTGGTAACAAAAAATGTGATTTTACGAAGTGGCACCTAGTACCGGACAATTCAAAATAACCATAATTGAACACATATGTAGTCATCTCCACACTCTGGAATATCTGCACATTTGTGTTTGATGGATATTCTTAGATATTGCAAAAAAAATCACTAATTATCCACCTTTTTGGCTGGGCCACATCGATGCTCTCAGCTGGAGTATTCATTATAAGATTTCATTCTTTGATTAGAAAATACGAAAATGGAGGTATGTAATGACCGTTAGCATTCCCCGCGCCCCTTTCAATTGTATTTGGAAATAAAGAGATTTATACTCGCTTAAATAATACGGGTTGTGAAATAGAGTGTCCGGCTTTAAGTGCCGTCCGGCATTACGGGACTTCCCCCTAATCAAAAAAAATAGGCCCCATTAAAGATATAGATAAGCCAATCACTTGGTTGCCTTGAGAAGCCGTGTAGTTGATATGCATAACCACAACAGTTCATATGACTTAAATTCTGATACCTGTTCTAAAAAGCACAAGAAAAATATATCATGTAATACGGTCAAAATATATCTATTCAAATCGGAAGTAAATTTAAAATCTATCTTCTATCTATTTATCGGTTCAGCATATTCTGCCAATCTCGGAACAGAATCAAATGATCCGAATTATTATTTCCGTTATCTTAAAGGGTCCATCTATAAACAGGTTTAGAATTGTGCCTTATTTCAAAGGATAAGGGTTTTCAGTTAACACTTTATGATTATGGGATTCATTTAGGACGACAATGCAGAATCGTTTCTGCAACCCGACTCCAATTAAATCCACAGGGTGTCAACATCACACTGGCAAATGTAAAACATTGGATCGGATTTATATGATATCTGATATAAAATAGAATAGAAAGAGAATAATTGTATATATACTGAGCATTTTTTAAAAAATTATTTGACATTAAAATATAGTATTGCTCGAATTGGAAAATAAGGTATTATGTTTGATGATTTTTTTTAGTAATAAATTGAAGGTTTTTAACAAGCTTTTGGTAATTGCAATTACATTTTCTATGGGTGCATCAGACTGCATCTATAGATGCAGCATTTTTAATCAAAATTTGTATATGAGTTATAGTAGTGACTATTATATATTCTAATATTTTTTCCAAAAACTATTTTTCCCAAATTTATTAGTTTTACCCAGGGTTTCTATTAAAAGATCTCCCAACTTCATCTCCTAGCACCTCTCGGTCGTTAACGCGGAAACGCGGAGCAATTGCGATGAACGTGTGCGAATTTAAACGACTGTTTAGCCGGTCTAATCACGAAGCGACGGCTTAATTAGCCGACAGTCTGTTCTTTCATCACATGCTACACTATTGTTTTCTTAATAGCGGTTCCCGAAGACTGGGGAAATTTAAATAATAATGCATGCGAGGAAATAAGGAATAGAATCGTATTTGTTATCGAAATAAATTATAGTTTATTTTATTTGAAAAAGAAAACATAATCACTATTGGAAAACTCAAATTCATAGAATTAAGGTAATTGTGTCGCCTTCTAAAAAGCTAAGCAGTTGCAGCAGTTTGTAGTCTCGTCAATACGAACTAAATGTTTTTTGAATCATTCAAATCGGTTGATCTCTCAAAAACTGATATTCTTCGCAAATTTTGCTGCGTATCTCCGAAACGGCTGGTCAGACGCTCCTTGCTAAAAACTAATCGGCACCTCTCCCCGTCAATACAAATCGAATATTTTTCTGGAAATGTTTAAATCGGTTGATCCATGCTCCCAAAATCGTGGACTAAAATTGTATTAGAACACTCATAGATATTTTTTTAAGGCATGCTAAAATTTTCAGAAGACTTTGAAATGCAAAGATATGCATCATTTTGGATTTTTTTGCGATTACTATAACTTTTTCTACGTTCATAAACAAATGAACATTACTGTTGGAAAAATCAAATTCATAAAATTAATCCAACTGTTGGGTTGCCTTCTAAAAAGCTAAGCAATGACAACAACTAATTAGCTCGTCAATACAAATTGAATGTTTTTTGAATCATTCAAATCGGTTGATCCGTTCTCTCAAAAACTGCTATTTTTTGCACTTTTTGCTGGGTATTTCAGAAATGGATTGGACAGTTGGTCCTTGTCAGAAACTAATCACCACGTATCCCCGTCAATACAAAGCGAATGTTTTTTTTAATTGTTCAAATCGGTTGATCCATGCTCCCGAAATCTTGGACTAAAAATTGTATTCGAACAAACACAGATCCATTTTTTTAAGGTTTGCTAAACTTTTCAGAAATGCAAAGATATGCATCACTTTGAATTTTTTAGCGATTTTTATAATTTACATATATAACATAACTATTAGTTGTTTTATACATAACATAGTTTCAATGCAAAATCATTGGTAATTGAATTAAATATCTAAATTTGAATGATTTTGCACCGAACCAGCCTACTCTGTAATTGTGTGCGAAAATCAGTTTTCTTGCAACACTTGTGTTGATTTAGTGTTAAATCGTAAAGTTTTATGATCCAAACCCAATCTGTGAGATTTGATTAGTGAAATGGTATCACTAAAATAGTTAATTTGTATGATACAATTAGTCAGGATATGGTAATTTGGAAGTATGTCAAAAAAAGTTAGTTAAAGATTATATAAAATGATGATATAATTTGATTGTAAAAAAATTATAATGCTCTAGTCGTAAATTTACATTTGCAAACCGATGTTCCATTTCAGAATAGTATAAATATTAGTTACTAATTAGTAACTTTTTTCACTGAAACTATAGAACTATAAGCAACCTATTATATTGTGATTATCAATATGATATACCACAATTAAATACCACACATTTTTCCAAAGTACTTTCCTTATTATTAATAAAACAGTAAATATCCTCGTTGTAAGCAGGAACGTGCAGGGCATAAATCTTATTAAGCAAAATTACATCACATTTTGCACACCGGTGCGGTGTCTGCTACATGATGCATTACTATAAAACGGCCACTCTTAGGATTTTAAATATTCAACACAATCTTAGGGACCGACTCCCAACTTCCTCGGAACAATCTTCGCTTTTCCCAGAAAACAAATTCGCATAATGCGAACTCGGGATGGTAACTTCGTATTTAATAACCGGTTTGGTAAAAAGATAGATGGATAAATGTTGCTTAATTGTCACAGAAAGGTATTATAGTAATATAATCTATAATATGATAGGTGGTCAGATTTGAGAATCATCAAAGCAAAGGAAGGGATTGGTAAAGGGTCATGTAGAAGTTTTAAGAAACAAAAAAGAACATGAATTAGCCAAAGGTGCTACTAGTTAGGTGGTTTACATCTGCAAATTAAGGACAAAAAATTGTTTTCAATTAAAAGTTTTTTCAGTTAATTAAACTCTCGAATAAGAGTCACCATCTCAGCTCAGAGACTTAGAAAATCATATCGCTTACGTTACTATTCAAATTCTTTGTCGAAGATGTACCAAAAAATGTCCATTATCCTCCACTGTATTTTTTCCTCGCAGTAATTCATTCGAATTACACGAATATAATGTTGTAATCTAGCATTCGAGGGTAGGTTTTCGAGCTATCAGGTGTGGGGTGTAAAAGATGGTTACCCACTAAAAGCATTTAGTCATTAAAGAAGTGAAATTCAAAAAGGAATAACCGTACAATATTAACATTTTTATTATACGCGAGCCGAACCGCTGACTGCTTGCATAAATTCCTCTTTATTTCATCTCTTATGCATACTGAGTAGATAGAACTGTCTGTAATAATGGGAATTATTAAATAGCCTCAAGGTTCGGAGTTAAAAGCAGAAGTAGAAAAGGAAGTTATTACTATTTATTGCTAAAAGTACTTCATACTTCCGTAGCTACACCAGGGTAAATGAAAATTGGAAGGCAAAATCGTGAATCCTCATGTAATCGCATCAAAGATTAAGGATAATTTTATTTAGAATGTTTTTAACAATATTCTAATTTTGATAATTATGCAAGAATTTTTATGGACAACTGTACAAATATAAATATATATGCTTAAAATACTTTGAATACTATTATTTATGATTTTTTAATATTTTGTTCTAGATTACGTGAAGAGCGTGGAGATATGGACAGAGCACTTGCACTTGATCATAAACCAAGAGATTTGAGTTCGCAAAATGGAGAGTATTATGATGGTAAGTTAAAAAAATTAATTATTTATTTATGCAATAGTTATCAAAAAATAGTGTAAATTAATAAGTAACAAAAATACATTGGACTACTGTTAATAACAGATTTTTGAAACATTGTACAAGATAATTGTTAATATTCACTAGCTTTACTCCACGTCAACTTGAAACTTATTATTAACTTTGTTCTCTTGTGATTTTTGATACTTGATACTACACTATTAATGAATAGTTAAATTATCAATTCTAATAATCAATTTCTCAATTTTTTTTTTCAGGATCTTCGAATGGACACAGTCCAGTATTAAATTTATCAAAAGGTGGCGGCGGTGGAGCAAGTGACCGCAGTGACGGAGGATGTTCTCCTGGACCTTCTGTTCCTGATGGTGATCGTTTAGGAGACACTAGTGATATTGACCAGAGTGATAACGAAGACCACGTAGAAAAAGAAGAAGGTAAGAACATTTATAATAAAAAATAGTTTTGTTAAACTATTTTATTTCTCTCATATTAAACACCTCTTTGCTATATTCATGTAACCCTAGTAGAAACTAATCGTGGTTAAATATTATTTTTTATGAGGGCTAAATTTTGTTTACCAACACCCAGCCCAAATTCGCAATATGGCTAAAATATATAAAAATTATATGGTGAAAATAATATTAAGCTTTAATTGAAAAATAATTATGACCCATTAATAATAACTATAATTATATCACCTTATTGCATAATATTATATTTAAAATAATTTATCTAAAAACTTAATTCAAAATGATTTGTCGACTATGTTTAAATCTTGATTTATAATATGCTCATAATTCATAATTTTACTCTAAATAAATTATCACGGCTTGTATATCATTATCCATTAGAAGGTCCACAATTTTAAAAACATCGCCAGCGTTGACAAACAATCTATTAATCAAATTCTCACATAAATACGTGATAAAATGATTAATGAACGAACAATCTAACTCCAAATCGACCTAACCAGTTTCAAAAGCACTCCATACGTTTTCATTACTAGAAATCTCGCTTATGACTTAAGAAATATTGCATTCTCGCTTATCATCGAGTCATAAATATAGGAAATGAATGAGTATTTTTTATAAATAAAACTATAGGATAGATCTGATGCAAAATGGAATATGCGATGATAATCGTGCGTCTATTTTCAAAATTGTCTGTTTTTGCTGTTGCGGATTTTCTCGTTCCATGAGGATTCCGCTTTCGCACAACGAGGTGTGTAATTTTATCTTTCATGAGCGGCTTTAACAAGTGCAGATAGTTTTCTCAACTGAGATAAATAGACTTAGGATTAATAGATAGAAGATTTAATTGGATAATTTAATAAATTCAAATATTTTATGGCCTAAATAGCGAATAATTCTTAAGCTGTACCCAATGAGGGCTACGTGCTAAGCCATTAGCCATTAGCTAATTTTAATAATTCAAGCTTTTCAAAAGCATTTTTACTAACTGCTTAAGGAAACCAATTCAAACTTTTGTAAATCTTAGTTTCCTTTAAAAATAAATAATTACACCCAACCCCAAATTCTACCGCAAAATCACTTCTTCTTCATAAATAAGCGGCAAAAACAGTTCTACAATGCGAGCCTCTGCCTGTAATAACCACGTAGGTGTAGCACAATACGTTTCGCGAACACGTTTATCATTTTTTCCTCTATTGAATGGAGTGGAAACAACTTAAGTTGTACAGTTGTATACGAAGAAAACAGGCATAATAATAAGTTGCATAAAGCGAATCAGATGTTTCCTGTTCGATGTAATTGAGGGATTAAACCGTGGACGAATCGAGAGGGACTAACATTCGATATGGAGAACAACCGAAGTCAGTGTGTTTTACAATAATTGAAGTATCGCTTCTGGCATATTACGCCTAATTTCTAATAAAATCATTCCATTCTCTTACCATTGGCTCAAATTTATATAAATGATTCCTATCAAAAAACTGATTTGAAGGCATCTCCAATCATCCTCCAGTTGTTATGATTGGCCATCGATCAGCTCCATCAACGAATGGAAGATCTGTATATTTTATAAATGACACGTCTCGATATAATGACCATTTATTGGATAAATGTATCATTGTTCCGACCAAAGTCCGTGTGTTTTTTCAATGCATTTTCGGTTAGCGTGCGTGCTCCGAGCTGAATCAAAAACGCGATCGAAATTACGGTGCCGTGCGGAGCTAATGCCATACTCCGGATTTTCGGCATTTTTTTCTGGGATGGTCCACAGACGTTCGACGCGCGTTTCCTCCGGTCAGAAAATGGTGGTTCTTTAGAATACCATTAAAAGCAGTTCTCAAAATTTGCATAATTTCATGTTTATCCGAGATTAAAAGATATTTATATCGAGTAATACAAGCGGTATAAAAAATTTAATGATTGGAATTGTATTCTAAGTTCAGGTTATGGATAATGTCTTATAAGTCTTATATATAAAAAAAACGAATTTGAAAACTGGAATTTTGTGTTGATACATTGAATTGTAAATATTTTAAAGATCGGAATAGTATGGATTGTGATGATTATGTATTTGTAATTATTTGCGGACGAAGAGTTACTATCATCTGATTTCTAGAAAATACACTAGAAATTTAAAGTTTACGTATCATATTTGGGCTTGACTGGAGACCACGACGAAGAACTTGAGGAGAAACACTATATTTAATATTCAAATGTTTTTATTTCAAAATAGAATAGTATGCAGCAACTACGTATATTATAAAATAACTTTACTTTAGATATTTATTATGAATAATTCTGACAAGAACCTGAGATTATATTTACTATTGATTATGACTTGCTTGTGAATAAATATAAATAAGTAATAGAAAATTTTCGAGCAAACAGCATTCTTGAATTTCTTTTCTATCCATCCAAAATGAACTAAGTACAGAGTCATCTAGTGTACCTTGCTCGCAGAACTTTAAGCAGTACAATTGCTTAATTGTTGTATGGCATTTTCCAAAAAAGTGATATTTTAATAGAAAAAATTTGAAAAAAATGGATATTATTATAGAAAAATTGATTCTTCACAACATATATACCTATACATGCAGAGTTTGGTATAAAATCAATATCTTGATAAATTTTAGGCAGACAGAAAGTAAGAGTAGATATGTAAAAAATCATAAATTTTATCCAAGATAATATTAGAACCTGGAACTGGAAAAGTTGTATATTCAGTAAAATCATCATTTTGAAATTCTTTATTACACTCGACATCTGTATCTAAATTTGTTAGTTTATTAGTTTTATTTGATCTAATGTCCAAATTTCAAGATTTACATCATCATCAGTTACTTCCAAAAATTCTTGTTACTTTTGACTCATTCGCTGAAGAATAGATTTCCATTTGCCTGTTTGAGGTTACTTTAGAACTATCATCTAATTCCTGGTATACGGTGTGAAAATTATGGTCCTTGTTGATCAAATCCATAATTTTGATCTTAATTTCAGTTTTGTCATTGAAATTCGTAGTGGCTCTAACTGGTACAAGGTTAGATCCATGAGATACGTGGTTAAAATCCACAAGTTTATTGATAATTTGAGCTACTTAATAACTCGAGAATATCACCTGTTCAATATTTCTATGTATCAGGTATAAATTAGCCCAAAGTATCAATTCGCAGTCGTCTCAAACAATAACAATTGAGAAGTGCAGTTAATCCCCTTCGGAGCCTAAACGTTTCGTCGTTCGAAAATATCTCGTTGCCGCGTTATGAGCGCAAATCACGCGAATCCGATCGAGACTTTGAAACAGATCAAGAAAAGAGAGAGACGAATCAATCGCGATACACGGCAATCGATAAAGACGAAACAACAACAATGCGCAACTCGCTGACTTTACTCGGATTTTTATTATTAGTTAAGGGGAGAAAAAAATGAAAACGTTTAATAATAAAATAACAAAACGACTATAAAAAGCTGAACGCGACGTGCGATTATGAGCGTACGCATATACGCGAAATTGCCGGATAATGGACGTTTGTAGAATTTCTGGAGATTATATCGCGAGATATCACAGGCAGAGGAGGGCGATTTTTTTGCTTTTTAGTTACTCGTCCGAGGGTATGATTTTACGGCTGACTGTTCTTCAACAATATGCCATATGAATCGAGACCATTGATTTTTTGGACACTTCTTTTTAGCATAGAAATTACCTTATAATTTTGCCTGAAGGGACTTAATAAAAACACCCAAAACAGTGAGCCATTGAATCAAAAGAAGATATGACTTATTCATATTTATAATTTACAAATGTTGGTTTGCATTGAGATACATTTTATAATAACTGCATTCGAAATTAAAACATATTGAAGTTCAAAATGTAATTTTATCTATACATTGGCTACCACCACCCGTGAACTTTTTTCTCAAGACCAATTTATTTATTGTCAGTCATCTTTAGCACAATTTCAATGAAATTTCAATATATGCGGAATAAAAAACACACATTTGCTTCATTATTATTTAGCCAATTTAATTTTAATTTAGCCTCCAAAACCGCTAGATCTGTCTTCCCAAAAATGTCATCAGTTCTTCATTTCGTCAAAACAAATAAAATGTTATTTGAATCTTTCAAATCGGACGCTCCGTTCTCTTTAAAATTGAATTACCATTTTTGGCACTTTTTGGCCCGTATCTTCGGAACGGCTGGACCTGCCTTTGCTAAAAACTAATCAGCACGTCATCTTATCAATAAGAATCGTAAGTATTTTGAATCATTCAAATCGGTTGAACCGTATTCCCGAAATCGTCGATGAAAATTTGTATCCGCACATACACACGCACACACACACATACATGCATCCAATTTTTCTAAGTTTTTTTAAGGAAAGTTAAAAATGGTAGAATACAAGTTTTAGAAAATGAATAGATAATTTATATTCTAGAAAATATTATATATGAATTGCACTCATCGTCAGTAAAGCTTAAGAATTATTCGCTATTTAGGCCATAAAATATTTAAATTTATTAAATTATACAATTAAATCTTATATCTATTAATTCTATTCCAATAATTTCTATTATTCTTTATTTTTTCAGATCTCAGTGACGTAGACGATCACGAAACAGCAATGCCTTTAGCTCTTGGGCCAACACGTCCTTCCTCAGTCGGTCCACAACAATCATCCTCGCCTGCTCATGAAGATTCTGATGAATCCGGAGGCCAACAGACAGCCCTAAATTATTCTTCGGCGGGAGCAGGAAATATATCGATACCGTCCAGTGTTGCAGGCAGAGATATGTCTGGTGCAGTACCACAAGATGCAGGAGCAGGGAGCTTGCTCCACGGAAACACTATTGAGGAACATTCAAGGTCTTCTTAAAGTTGCAGCAGATAACGCGAGGCAGCAGGAGCGACAGATCAGTTACGAGAAAGGTTAGTGGAAAATATCATTTTTTTAGTAGTTTTATTATTATTTACTTACATGCATGTGACAAATTAAAACAAATATATCATTCTATCAAGTGATGTGTTACCCCTGACCATCACAAATTGCAAAACGAGTTCCATCTCAAATCCCAAGTCTTATAAATCAAATGTCCCATGTACCGTCGTCGTTGACTCTGTTAATCGATCTAAAGAAAATACATTTATCCATTCATAGTGCATGTAATATCATTAGTAAGAACGCGTGAGAATGTGTAGAACAAACCTTGAGGAGGGACTATGCCTATAAATAAATACATAAATGAATAACTGAATGGACAAACAATCATACGAATAAATGAGAAGGCGTACTCTCAACATGCTGTGAGCTTGTATCAGATGCTTCTTGAATCGTGACGTTGGACGTGGAAAGCATTTATAAAAGACGCTATTGGTTTTGTAGATAGAAAATTGATTGCTGTGAATGTAAGAAATTGTTTATTGATAATAATAGGAAGAATAGATGGTCATTTGTAATGGACACAAAAATCGTTTGGCAATGTTATAAGGAAAAATAGAAATAAAAATGTTTGATAAAGATGTTTTATGTATCTTCTGAATATTGAGACCAAAAATCTATGAGATGATTAAAATAAAATTCTGCTCAGCATCTAAACCAATTGTGCCAACCCATTACACAATTTCTTCTGGTAAACAAAGTTTTTTTATATTTACTTATTATCTTTTTTATGATAAAATATTGCGGTGTGAAAATCTAATATTCCTTTCAAATCCCGAGGTAAAAAATTTGTTTTACCATAAGCACCTAAGCATGAATTATTTTTCCATCCTCCGCCCTCCATCAGTAAAATAAAAATCAGAGACAAGTCTCTGTACATATCGAGAACCCCGTTGATTATAAGGAGTCCACTGAAACATTTGCAACCTTTGACCTGGGTGCTTCGAAGAGGCGAACATGTGATATAGAAAAAAATCTTTGGTAAGATGTAAGGCCTTCTTCTAGCGAATGCAGGATGAACAAGAAGACCACGGATAATATTTAATTATCGCGGCTGTAGCAATGATCGTAAATTACTGGTCGGGGAGACGTACCATATGAAACAGGGACGGATTATAAAAGGGTATCAAGATATAAAATACATTGATAAATAAAAACAAATTAACTACTTGCTATCTCAAGATTAATAGATTTATGTTGCCAGAACAAATAAATTTAAGGTTTTGATATTCTTAGCTTTTTGTGACTTTGGAACTTTTGGAAAGTTGGAGTTATTCACGTCGATTGGTATGTTTATGCATTTGCTAAAATGAGTTTCCAGAATGCTAAAATAGGTTTTTGAAATTTTTTATATATTGGTTTTGTGAAATCCTGAGTTGACTTGACAATGTCTAGCGCAAATTCTGCATTATACTTGCACCCAGTTGGAGCACTATGTTCTTTTCTGGTATCGAACTCAATTTTATTTTTTATGTAAAACGAATTGCATAAGTCTGCAAGAAACAGTTGGAGATCATAAGTATATCCTAATGCAACATATTTAGCCTTATTTTTTTCCATTTCGGTCATTCAAAATCATTCTTCCGTGTCCGAATGCGATTCTGCATATCACACGGTCGGTTTGAATCGTGTTATGTTGCATTTCGCCTTTTGTTTGTTCATGTCGTTAGCCGTTGATACTTTGTATGATACTCTGACAATGAGAATCGTGTTAAGTAAATACTATAAAATGAGAATTGCTTTCGGATGAATTATGTACGAAGGGCCCATAAGCGCGTTCGATAAATATTGCCGAGCGAATGAATACATTATGGACACCGACAGAATTATCGATTTCGTGTTTAATATTAATATCATTGCGAATAAATTATAACTGATAAATTGACAGGTCGGATTTAAAATTAATAACGAGAAAAGTTCGGATCGCGTTCTCACGTAGTATATTGAAAGTGTAAAATTTAGCTTTAAAATCAGTGCATACACTTTGGAAAAAATATAATTATTTTAATGAAAATTTGAAATAGTTTTTTAATTCAGACCATTTTAAAGTTACTTTACGAGTTACAAATTAGTGGGAATATCTACTCCAATGTGACGCCACTTTTTGCAAATATAAGTCCACAATAAACTCACAAGGAGAACCTTAGGTTTGCTCGTTTGCGATTTTGAAGAAACCCCGCATAGTGAAAGAGTTGATAGTCAAACCGAATAGTTTAAAATATTATAGACTTACGAGAAGTGGCTTAATTATAAAAATGCAATAATGTTCTGAAAAATGAACCACGCAAAAAACGATTATTCAAGTTTATAGTTGGGTTATCCATGAAGTAGTATTTTTTCTCAATTATCTGGCTCTGAATTATCAGCTTAGTTTATTTCTAAGCCGTGGTCATTTACCCGGTTCTTGCAGAAAAATCTAACTATTATTAACAAGGACACTATAAGGCTCTCGAATAAAATTACATGTCCGCCGGGTCAAACAAAACCAATTCAAAGCCATATTTCGCAAATTACGAAATTTATGATTCGCGCACGCTGCAGAGATAAATATTATAGACACCGGTACAAAACCTTATTCGATTGCCGAGTAATTTTCATTGTGCCGAGGAGTAATCACGATCGAGTCGAATCTCTCTTTCTGTGATCGTGTTCCGTCCGAGATATCGTTCGATATTCTCGAAATAAATAATCGATATCAATTAAATAATTATGCTGTCATTACAAATCGCGCGTAATAACAGACTTTAGGGCAATAAATTCAAACGTTGGCCGCATCAGAGAAGTGCAATGCCGGGATCGGATATTCGCGGTTTTGATCATTTTATGTTACGTACTTCTAGATGTTTATAATAGTGATGTGCACGTACGTAATAATACTCTCTTGTCCACATACGAGAAAATTAAGGGAGGTTTGAACTACAACCACCTACTAGCTCCATGCAAAACAATTTGTTGTAGACGAGTTGATCGACCAATAACCAAACATATTTTTTCTGATGATGGTACCAATTACTAGAAATTTCAAGCACTTTCTTATCATTTTTTCCTAAAACTTGCAGAGAATTTTTGTAGACTTCGGTATGATAAAAATGCTTGTAAATTTGAATTTCGAAGAGAATAGTAACCATGCCCTTGGGAATAGATCTTTGGGCATTAATTATCCAGATAGCTGAATTTGATTTCAGCTGACATTTCAATAAATTATGTAGTTGATGAATCGATTGAGACAACGTAAATCATCTGATTTCCTCCATGCATGTTTGAATCTTAATGAGCAGATAAATTCAATTACCGACAAAATCACTTACATCCAGCAAGTTTGACAAACAAAACAAAAATCAAACGAGATTATTTAAAACCGCGTCCAATTTTCAAAAAAATGCGCTCACAGGTAGTCGTTCTGCGATGGCAAGCTCTCAATTTTTAATTAGTGCAAGAATTTTTTCTCGGTTCAGTCTCTTTATTATATTAATTCACAATAAATCATCAGTGTGCACCTTTTGTCCGCTCGGTAGTTGATCGATACGTGTAATAAATATCGAAACCACATCGAGGCATAAAACTGTATCGGGGAGTTAGTACATATTCTTCTTCAAGTTTGCATTTAATAAAAACTCAATGAACCGAACATGTAACCGCAGTCTATAACAACCAGTAGCTTCTTGAAAGAGCTTCCTGCTGCAAACAATATGCAGATGCGAACAATGGTAGACAAATAAATGTTTTGTAGAAGTCCCGAGTTGTTTTGTAAAAAAAAGATTTAATATTGTTTCTTTGGGATCATTCTAGCTATAGAAATTAGAGATGGTTTTAGAGCTAGGAATATCTGTGGTTTTGTTTATAATTTCTCTATTATTGCTGCTCTGATTATTACTAGAAGCCATCGACAAGATCATATGCAAATTTCTCTGCATTCTTCATTTTATCAATATTTGCAACAAAAGATAATCACAAATATAATAACTTTCGCTTTTTTTAATATATTTATTATATATACAGGGTGTCCCACAATACTACCTCAAGCCGAAAAGGGGTAAAAATACACTTAGAGCTTTGGTGACACTGTGAGAGTTTTCCGGCATTTGTGGTTACAATTTTTTTATTTTTGTACTTTTGTATTAATAAAATGCACAAACTTTCAATAGCAATGCACTTTA